GTATCTTTTAGAATTAGAGTTTTCTCCAAATATATGCCCAGGAGTGGGGTTGCTGGATAGTATGGTAACTCTATTTTTAGTTTTTTAACAAACCTTCATACTGTTTTCTATAATGGCTGTACAAATTTACATTCCCATCAACACTGTGGGAGGGTTCCCTTTCCTCCACACTGTCTCCCACATTTGTTATTTGTAGACTTTTTAATGATGGCCATTCTGGCTAGTGTTAGGTGATACCTCATGGCAGTTTTGATTTTCATCTCTCTTATAATTAGCAATGAAAAACAGTGAAATTTTTTAAAAGGGAAAAATATCTGAACAGGTACTTCACAAGGAGATAAAAAAAATAACCAGGAAGCAATGAAAAAATGCTCAATATCAATCGTTACGAAAATGCAAATCAAAACTATGAGATACCACTTTACATGCACTAGGATGCTATAATAAAAAAAACTGATAAGAACAAGTGTTGGTGAGAATATGGAGAAATTAAAAACCTCATGCACTAACGGTGGGAATATAAAATGGCATAGCCACTATGGGAAACAATATAGTAGTTCCTCAAAATGTTAAAAACAGAGAAACTGAGCTCTGCTCACCAGAGCAACAGCAAGCTCTACCCTCCACCAGTCCTTCCCATCAGGAAACTTCACTTCCACAAGCCTCTTAGATAGCCTCATCCACCAGAGGGCAGACAGCAGAAGCAAGAAGAACTACAACCCTGTAGCCTGTGGAACAAAAACCACATTCACAGAAAGATAGACAGGATGAAAGGCAGAGGGCTATGTACCAGATGAAGGAACAAGATAAAACCCCAGAAAAGCAACTAAATGAAATGGAGATAGGCAATCTTCCAGAAAAAGAATTCAGAATAATGATAGTGAAGATGATCCAGGACCTTGGAAAAAGAATGGAGGCAAAGATTGAGAAGATGCAAAAAATGTTCAACAAAGATCTAGAAGAATTAAAGAACGAACAAACAGAGATCAACAATACAGTAACTGAAATGAAAAATACACTAGATGGAATCAATAGCAGAATAACTGAGGCAGAAGAACGGATAGGTGACCTGGAAGACAGAATGGTGGAATTCACTGCTGCGGAACAGAATAAAAAAAAAAGAATGAAAAGAAATGCGGACAGCCTAAGAGACCTCTGGGACAACATTAAATGCAACAACATTCACATTATAGGGGTCCCGGAAGGAGAAGACAGAGAGAAAGGACCTGAGAAAATATTTGAAGAGATTATAGTCGAAAACTTCCTTAACATGGAAAAGGAAATAGCCACCCAAGTCCAGGAAGCACAGAGAGTCCCATGCAGGATAAACCCAAGGAGAAACATGCCAAGACATATAGTAATCAAATTGGCAAAAATTAAAGACAATGAAAAATTATTGAAAGCAGCAAGGGAAAAATGACAAATAACATACAAGGGAACTCCCATAAGGTTTACCAGCTGATTTCTCAGCAGAAACACTACAAGCCAGAAGGGAGTGGCATGATATACTTAAAGTGATGAAAGGGAAGACCCTACAACCAAGATTATTCTACCCAACAAGGATCTCATTCAGATTCGATGGAGAAATCAAAAGCTTTACAGACAAGCAAAAGCTAAGAGAATTCAGCACCACCAAACCAGCTTTACAACAAATGCTAAAGGAACTTCTTTAAGTGGAAAACACAAGAGAAGAAAAGGACCTACAAAAACAAACTCAAAACAATTTAAAAAATGGTAACAGGAACATACATATCGATAATTACCTTAAATGTGAATGGATTAAATGCTCAAACCAAAAGACACAGACTTGCTGAATGGATACAAAAACAAGATCCATATATATGCTGTCTACAAGAGACCCACTTCAGACCTAGGGACACATACAGACTGAAAGTGAAGGGATGTAAAAAGATATTCCATGCAAATGGAAATCAAAAGAAAGCTAGAGTAACAACACTCTATCAGATAAAATAGACTTTAAAATAAAGAATGTTACAAGAGATAAGGAAGGACACTACATAATGATCAAGGGATCAATCCACGAAGAATATATAACAATTATAAATATATGTGCACCCAACATAGGAACACCTCAATACATAAGGCAACTGCTAACAGCTATAAAAGAGGAAATTGACAGTAACACAATAATAGTGGGGGACTTTAACACCTCACTTACACCAATGGACAGATCAGCGAAACAGAAAATTAATAAGGAAACACAAGCTTTAATGACACAATAGACCAGATAGATTTAATTGATATTTATAGAACATTCCATCCAAAAACAACAGATTACACTTTCTTCTCAAGTGAGCATGGAACATTCTCCAGGATATATCCCATCTTGGGTCACAAAACAAGCCTCAGTAAACATAAGAAAATTGAAATCATATCAAGCATCTTTTCTGGCCACAATGCTATGAGATTAGAAATCAATTACAGGGGGAAAAAAAGTAAAAAACACCAACACATAGAGGCTAAACAATACATTACTAAATAACCAAGAGATCACTAAAGAAATCAAAGAGGAAATCAAAAAATACCTAGACAAATGACAATGAAAACACGACAATCCAAAACCTATGGGATGCAGCAAAAGCAGTTCTAAGAGGGAAGTTTACAGCTATACAATCCTACCTCAAGAAACAAGAAAAATCTCAAATAAAAACCTAACACTACATCTAAAGGAACTGGAGAAAGAAGAACAAACAAAACCTAAAGTTAGCAGAAGGAAAGAAATCATAAAGATCAGAGCAGAAATAAATGAAATAGAAACGAAGAAAACAATAGCAAAGATCAATAAAACTAAAAGCTGGTTCTTTGAGAAGATAAACAAAATTGATAAACCATTAGCTAGACTCATCAAGAAAAAGAGGGAGAGGACTCAAATCAATAAAATTAGAAATGAAAAAGGAGAGATTAAAACTGACACAGCAGAAATGCAAAGCATCCTAAGAGACTACTACAAGCAACTCTATGCCAATAAAGTGGACAACCTGGAAGAAATGGACAAATTCTTAGAAAGGTATAACCTTCCAAGACTGAACCAGGAAGAAATAGAAAATATGAACAGATCAATCACAAGTAATGAAATTGAAACTGTGATTAAAAATCGTCCAACAAACAAAAGTCCAGGACCAGATGGCTTCACAGGTGACTTCTATCAAACATTTAGAGAAGAGCTAACATCCATCCTTCTCAAACTCTTCCAAAAAATTGCAGAGAAAGGAAAACTCCCAAACTCATTCTATGAGGCCACCATCACCCTGATACCAAAAGCAGACAAAGATACTCCAAAAAAAGAAAATTACAGACCAATATCACTGATGAATACAGATGCAAAAATCCTCAACAAATACTAGCAAACAGAATCCAACAACACATTACAAGGGTCATACACCATGATCAGTGGGGTTTATCCCAGTGAAGCAAGGATTCTTCAATATATGCAAATCAATCAATGTGATATACCATATTGAGTAATTGAAGAAGAAAACCATATGATCATCTCAATAGAGGCAGAAAAAGCTTTTCACAAAATTCAAAACTCATTTATGATAAAAACTCTCAAGAAAGTGGGCATAGAGGGAACCTACCTCAACATAATAAAGGCCATATATGACAAACCCGCAGCAAACATCATTCTCAATGGTGAAAAACTGAAACTATCTCCTCTAAGATCAGGAACAAGACAAGGTTGCCCACTCTTACCACTATTATTCAACGTAGTTTTGGAAGTTTTAGCCACAGCAATCAGAGAAGAAAAGAAATGAAAGGAATCCAAATCGGAAAAGAAGAGGTAAAACTGTCACTGTTTGCAGATGACATAATACTATACACAGAGAATCCTAAGATGCTACCAGAAAACTACTAGAGCTAATCAATGAATTTGGTAGAGTAGCAGGATACAAAATTAATGCACAGAAATCTCTTGCATTCCTATACACTAATGATGAAAAATCTGAAAGAGAAATTAAGGAAACACTCCCATTTACCACTGCAACAAAAAGAATAAAATACCTACGAATAAACCTACCTAAGGAGACAAAAGATCTGTATGCAGAAAACTATAAGACACTAATGAAAGAAATTAAAGATGATACCAACAGATAGAGAGATATACCATGTTCTCGGATTGGAAGAATCAACATTGTGAAAACGACTCTACTACCCAAAGCAATCTATAGATTCAATGCAATCCCTCTCAAACTACCAATGGCTTTTTTCACAGAACTACAACAAAAAATTTCACTATTTGTATGGAAACACAAAAGACCCTGAATAGCCAAAGCAATCTTGAGAAGGAAAAATGCAGTTGGAGGAATCAGGCTCCCTGACTTCAGACTATACTACAAAGCTACAGTAATCAAGACAGTATGGTACTGGCAGAAAAACAGAAATATAGATTATTGGAACAGGACAGAAAGCCCAGAGATAAACCCATGAACCTATGGTCACCTTATCTTTGATAAAGGAGGCAAGAATATTCAATGGAGAAATGACAGCCTCTTCAATAGGGGGTGCTGGGAAAACTGGACAGCTACATGTAAAAGAATGAAACTAGAACACTCCCTAACACCATACACAAAAATAAACTCAAAATCAATTAAAGACCTAAATGTAAGGCGAGATACTATCAAACTCTTAGAGGAAAACATGGGCAGAACACTCTATGACATAAATCACAGCAAGATCCTTTTTGACCCACCTCCTAGAGAAATGGAAATAAAAACAAAAATAAACAAATGGGACCTAGTGAAACTTAAAAGCTTTTGCACAGCAAAGGAAAACATAAAGAAGACGAAAAGACAACCCTCAGAATGGGAGAAAATATTTGTAAATGAAGCAACTGGCAAAGGATTAATCTCCAAAGTATACAATCAGCCCATGCAGCTCAATATCAAAAAACAAACAACCCAATCCAAAAATGGGCAGAAGACCTAAATAGACATTTCTCCAAAGAAGATATACAGATTTCCAACAAACACATGAAAGGATGCTCAACATCACTAATCATTAGAGAAATGCAAATTAAAACTACAATGAGGTATCCCCTCACACCAGTCAGAATGGCCATCATCAAAAAATCTACAAACAATAAGTGCTGGAGAGGGTGTGGAGAAAAGGGAACCCTCTTGCACTGTTGGTGGGAATGTAAACTGATACAGCTGCTAGGGTGAACTGTATGGAATTTCCTTAAAAAACTAAAAATAGAACTACCATATGACCCAGCAATCCCACTACTGGGCATGTACCCTGAGAAAGTCATCATTCAAATAGAGTCATGTACCACAATATTCATTGCAGCACTATTTATAGTAGCCATGACATGGAAGCAACCTAAGTGTGTATCGACAAATGAATCGATAAAAAAGATGTAGTACATATATACAGTGGAATATTACTCAGCCATAAAAAGAAATGAAATTGAGTTATTTGTGTGAGGTGGATGGACTTAGAGTCTGTCATACAGCCTGAAGTAAGTCAGAAAGAGAAAAACAAATACCGTATGCTAACACATATACATGGAATCTGAAAAAAAAAAGGTTCTGATGAACGTAGGGGCAGGGCAGGAATAAACACGCAGACGTAGTGAATGGACTTTAGGACATGGGGAGGGGGAAGGGAAAGCTGGGACGAAGTGAAAGAGTAGCACGGACATATATATACTCCCAAATGTAAAATAGATAGCTAGTGGGAAGCAGCCGCATAGCACAGGGAGATCACCTCGGTGCCTTGTGACCACCTAGAGGGGTGGGATAGGGAGGGTGGGAGGGAAAGGCAAGAGGGAGGGGATATGGGGATATATGTATACGCATAGCTGATTCACTTTGTTATACAGCAGAAACTAACACAACAATGTAAAGCAATTATACTCCAATAAAAATGTTAAACAAAAAAATAATAAAATCAATCAATCAATAAATTCAAAAAAAAATGAATGAGCTTTTGATACATGCAAAAACACAGGTGAACCTCAAGGCGAAGAAAAGTGTACATACTCTATGATTCCATTTATATAAAATTCTAGAAAAATGCAAATGTAAACAGAATGACAGAAGACCAGTGGTTGCCTAGAAATGAGAGAGGCAAGACAGGGAGGGAGGGAGGAATTAAAAAGGAACACAAGGAAACTTTTGACAGTGATGGATATGTTCATTATCTTGGTCGGGGGTGATGGTGTCATTCATGTGTTTGTATGTCAAAATTTATCAAATTGTACACTTAAACATGGGTAGTTTATTGTATTTCAATTATGCCTTAATAAAGCTGTTTAAAGAAATAACTATATTTTCCAAAACAAATTAGTGAGAAAAGTGTCACTGCTTGACAGTTTTGCACATCTGTTTTATGTCATGCTTAATAAAAGACAGCTGGATTCTCATACATGCTTGCTGCATTCAGTATGTTGCATTACGTTGTTTCAGTTTACATATATAAAGAAAACCCATCTTCATACAAATATATGGTTGGAAAAGGGAGAGATTTTTCAGATAATTGTCCTTGATACCACATCAAAACTTGACAAGTGGTAGTTTCTTAAGTGTTAACGTCAGTGTGGATTAAACCAGATGAATGAATTTTCCATACTCTGTTATATTAAAATCTTTTGATCCATTTTATAGTTTGGATGGATCTTTTCCCATGCATGGTTGTACAACAGCAGGCGTTGGTCACTTAGAAAATATTGGTTCACTGAGTTATGCAGCTCTTTCAGATGTTGACAATTCATTTTATATATAATATCATTTTAATCAATATTATATATAAAATGAAATGTATCAACATCTGAAAGATCTGTGTGTGTGTGTGTGTGTGTGTGTATCTATTTCAATAACATACCACTGATCTTATCACAAAGTCTTCAAGTATTGGAAAGCTGTCAAATTCTAATTTTCACTTGAAAACTCAAATTTTGTAAATGGCAACAGATGCTGTTAGCTGTTTTTCTTGAAATAACAGTCTCATTTATTTTCTAGAAAATGTCTACTGAACACTCAAATCTAAATAACCACAATTTCTATGTCAGTCATTCCTTTAAAAGATGGTTTCCCTTAAAGAAAGTGGCTAGTTCAGCCTGCAACTTGGACAATCTCACAGAGGCTTTTCCTTGAGACAATCATTATACCTTGGTATGCAGCAAACATACTTCTCATTTCCTAACACCAAATGTCAAAAAGTTATTTACTTAAGGGTTGAGATTTAATATAGTTAGTTTTTACATCAAGAACATTCTTAAGTGAAACTGGTAATTCTTTCTCCTACAAGCGTATGATGGTAAATTAGACATTGGGTGCAATGCTAATGGTACAGTCTGGTGCCACTGCATTAATTTTTGCTACATCATCAGCAGTTTTACTCAGCATTGTTTTGAACTTCTCAGTCCAAATAGTAACAAAGTGAAAAAAAAAAGTCTCTAGGACCCTCTTGGGTCCAGAGACCACACTTTAAAAAATGCTGCCTTAGCCTGAAAACACAACTGTTTGTGCTTGACCCACATCATCCTTCCTAGAAATCAGTGCGCCCTTAACAAGACTAGCCAAGCTTGAAGAAGCCTGCCTCACTCATCGCTTAAGAATTTACTGAGTGCTTTCTCTGGGCCAGGTCCTATCCTAGGTGCTGAGAATAGCGAATGCAACCTAAGACTCACTCCCTTAGCTCTTACATTCTAAAAGCGAAAGACAACAAACAAAAAAGTAACAAGAATAAGCAAAAAGTAAATATTTAGGATGCCTGATGGTGACAAGTGTTATGTAGAAAAAGTAAACACATTTAGGGAGTGGAGGGCGGCTTTTTTGAATAGGGTGTCAGGGAAAGCCTCACTGATAGGATATCTGCGTTAAATCCTAAAAGAAGTGAAAGAGCTAACTGTGCCGTAAATTATTACAAAATGGAAGCATACACATGGGCATGGCAGTAAAGAATCGGGGAGTTAATACTGTATAATTCTTTGAAGAAGAATGTCCAGTTTTGAAAACTGATGCAGCATTGCACAGCAAATATCTACAAGTTTAGGAATTAAAATTTTACCACCATCACCTTTGGTGGAAAAGAGCACTATTTTCACATGAAACTTCAGATGAACCACTCATTAATAAGGAAGATTTTAAAATTAATTTCCTTGTGTTAAAAATACAGCAATAAAGTACATAAACAGGCATTTTGAATTATAAACATATCATGAAGCCATGTTCAGTTTCTTGTACTATTTCTACAAGTTACAAGAACTGTCAGAGGAAACATTAAAATGTTATTGTATAAATTTATACTTAAAATTAAATTCAGGATTACACGAAGTAGACTTCTTTGAAGAGTTAAATCTTTTTAGAAAAATTGTTCTGTGAGAATCATCAACTCTAGATGTATGAAAATTTATATTTTGAAATAACTTATCAAAATGTATCCCAGTTTTGTTACAAACTATAAAATAATCTTACTAAATCCAGTAACAGTTGTGTCAGCAGTAAGATCATTTTCAAAATTAAAGATGATCAAAAATTATTTGCAGGAATTCCCTGGAGGTCCAGTGGTTAGGCACTTTCACTGCTGGGGCCCGGGTTCAATCCCTGGTCGGGGAACTAAGATCCTGCAAGCTGCATGGCGTCGCCAAAAAAAAAAAACCATATATATGTTTTCAATCTTGCATTTGCCAAGAGCAACTGATACCTCTTTCAATTATATCAAATGAACTAATAAATGAATTTTCAGAGATGTGAGCCAGAAAAATCTTATGATCAATCAAGACATCACGTTAATCAAGTATTATGTGTTACTTGACATAAAAATACAGCACTACATTTCTTTTTCAGTTTGCAAGTTTTTGTTACTCATGTATCACTCTTACCCCTATTAAATTTTATAAGTGAAAAAATGTTTTTCACGGGAAAAAATTTCTGTTTTAGTAACATGAACAGAACCTTTCCCCTAGTGTTTTAACAAAGAGCGCTTGTCTGACCAAAAAAACCTGACAAAGTTGTTGCTGGATCTCAGGGTACTCTAACCAGAGCATACTTCAGACTCTCCACATGGTCCACAAACCACAGGGCAGTGACTGTATCAGGGCCTTATATTCAGGCGCCCCTAAATTAATACTGAGTACTGCACAGTCACAGGGATATCTTGGCTTCTTTTACAGGCAATGCCAGGACACTCAGAAACTATTTTTCAAAGGATATTGATTTGAGTATGGAGACTAAATAAACAGACCAATTATCACACATGCTTTATTTAACTATGACCATACCCATCTTAGAGTATGGATATCTTTTCCATGCAGAAGTAGTTTGACTCACGACCAACACAAATGTCATTGACTGAGGTCAAAGTGTAATGAAGAAACTTATTCACCAGATCTATAGGTTCCAGCTGTAGTCTAAATGAGAGCCAGACACGCCTGGGCACATCTGGTAAATTGGCTGGGGGCGTCTGCCAAGTACTGACGGGCAGGAGAATGGGAGGCCTCCCAGGAGAGCTCGTTCTGGGAAAAGAAGATGCTGGATAAAAACAGCTAAGTTTTGGGGATTTCCCTGGTGGCGCAGTGGTTGAGAGTCCGCCTGCCGACGCAGGGGACACGGGTTCGTGCCCCGGTCCGGGAAGATCCCACGTGCCGCGGGGCGGCTGGGCTCGTGAGCCATGGCCGCTGAGCCTGCGCGTCCGGAGCCTGTGCTCTGCAGCGGGAGAGGCCACAACAGTGAGAGGCCCGCGTACCGCAAAAAAAACAAAAACAAAAACAAAAAAAACAGCTAAGTTCAATAAAGCATCTGTAGTGACTGGAGAGGAGGTGTGGCTCTGTTTCAAGCATGGTGATTGTAACTCGGCTCCCTCTCTGGTCCAACCCCATAGCTGGGTCCTAGGGTTAAGAAGAGGACAGTAAAAACTGTAATAGCTATTTGGCTAAGCTATGTGATTGGAGCCTAAGCAGCACTAGTACAGGGCACCATTAACAGAGTGTGGCACGACGGAAGTACAGACAACCACATAGTGAGAGGTGGTGGAAGGGCATGGGTCTCCATCCACTTTCCCTTACCTTCAGTCGG